AATAAAATTTTCGATTTCTGGAAAAACATTACGTGAAAAATCAACTGAAACTCATTACCATAAGAATAAGAATTTTAGCATTAAATATTATTATGTCATATGATAAAAATACTTGAACTTTTAATAATATTATCGATTATGTATAGCAATCCTCGTGTTCGTTTCGCGGTTATACGAAGATAATAACAATAATAGCAATGTCGGGAAAAGCGTCAGTACTTGCTGTCGTACAGGGCGCGTTGTTGCATAAAATTGTAAAACCCCCGCTGCTACTATACTGCCAAACGAGATAGCTGCAAACAGAGGCGAGTTAATTTAAAAATGCAAATTCTAGAGAGAACTCGTTCAAGTTTCAGGGGATGAACAGCTGAGGATGAAGGGGAAATTGTGGGTTTGCGGGAAAAAAATAAAATGAGAAAAAACGATAAAAGGAAAAATAAAAAAACGTAAAATACATGCGGTAGATCCATGCCACTGAGTACGGTAGAAAAAGTATTTACGATGCGTCATTAAATAATTCGTGATGTGTCTAGCTTTATTTTTTATATTTTTAGCTTTTTTTAACATTATTTCCACCTCTTTTTTATGCTTTATTTGTCTCATTTACGTGTGAAAAGTACATTTCTTTTTATATTTCGCTCATATTTTAATTTCTCTCTACTCGACAGTTTATTTTCAACTGACTATTTGTCTTTATATTGTTATATCAATTATACACTATCACTATAAATACAAGTTGTGTTTTTAAATTTATTTTTATATTTTGTAATCTTTATCGAGTTTTGTTCATCTATAACATTCTTAATCATTTTTGTACACTGAGAAAAAAAAATTTACATTACTTAATAACGATTTGCTTTAAACAATTTAATAAAAATCTTTAATGTCGTCAATTAAAAATGATAAATATTTTAATAATTTGATTTTTTAAATGCACAAATAATTTTTACACTAAATTTTATCCTTCTAAATAAAACTGTGAAAAATATTCTAAAAAATTCATCTTTTAAATGTAAAAATGTAGTGAATTAAACACTATTTATTTAAATTAATAAAATCTAAAGTAACATCAATTTTTTTAAACGATTCATAAAATATTATAAACTGGGTTTAAAAATATTTTTATCAAGTAAAATCGTTGAATTCATTGAAACGTTTATTGTAATTATTAAAATTATTTTTAAATAAAAAATGAATTGTACTAAACGATTACAATATAATAATAATTTTTAAAAATTAAATTAAGAAGCAGATAAATATTCATATAAATATCTAATTTATTTTAAATAAAAAAATTGAATAGATTCAAAGAGAAAAATTTAATTGAATTTTGTAAGCAAACCGATAGCTAATCTCTGATATTTAATAGTCGATAATATCAAAAACTCCCAAGAATCCAAGGAAGAAATACTATAAATAAAAATATTATCATTCTAACGACTAGAGAGAAAAAAAGCAAAGAAAAAAGAAGATAAAAATAAATATCTAAAGAAGAGCCGCAAAGTCAATTTCAAAAGAAGTTGATAATGTTGAGAACCTCTGTGTGCAATCTTGTACCAGCTGGGGTTTGCGGGGTCTTAGGAGACGCGACTGGGCTCGTAACCTTCTGAAGTGTGGAGTGAGGAATAGGGAAATAGGTCTGAGGTGGATGAGGATAGTGAAAACGATGGCAGAGAGTTCAGAGGAAGGGTAAGAGGCGGCGCAAGAGGTTGACTGGTAGTCGTGGTGTGAAGATATATCTAGAAGGTCTTGGCAGGGTGGATAAGACTAGAGCGCCATTGCGAAGGAGCCGCTCACTCACTTACCACGCTCGTGGCTTCGCGGTATAGCTTCAACCACCAACCCCAATACCCTCAAACACATCCCTGAGAAAATTCTCTTCCTCTTGTTCTCTATCTTACCCAACCTTGCATGCCAAGTTGCTTGCGGACCAAGTCGTTTCCTAACACTACAGACAGTCTATACATCGTCGACTATACACCTTCCACCCCTTATTGATCGACCTACGAAGCCTCCTTACTATCAACGTCGTATTCGCCTTCTCTGCTTTTATGCCTTCACCACATCTTCTCTCTCCTCCTTCTCCTCCTCTTCCTTAGGTTTTGAAACCTAAGAAGCTAAACTTGCATGCTTGAAATGTTGTTTTCGACAACCATGGATTCTCATGTCTTTGACAGAAATGTTAGAATAGGTCACGGCACATTATGCTCAAGGATATTCCAAACATTAGATTCTGTTAAAAATCGATGCATGTGTAATAAAGTACATGTAAATTATGCTAATACATTGTAATTTGTTCATTTACAATTGTAAAGTCTGTTATTTACATAAAATATTTTCTTCTTAATTATCTATAAATGTAGCTTCTGAAGATTGATGTTTATGGAAATTTATAGTGCATGAAATTTGCCGGTATATATTGAAGTAATTTTCAAAGCGAATAAACTTTTAATGATGAAAAGTCGTGTGTATATACTTGAAGAAGTTAAAATATCAATAATAATTTTATTTTACTTGAAAATAATTAATTAAATCTTAATAATGAGTTCATCTTATCATAGACCATAAAAAAAAACTCTAGTTGATGAGCTTAAAGTAGTATTAAGATAATAAGTTTATAAAAAGTCGTTATTTCTTGATTGTTGAAATGGATTCAATAAAATATATATACTCGATTTAAAGTATAATAGAAGTATACTTAAAAAATAAATCGATATCAACGTAGGTAGGGTGTATCTTTCATTTATTGAAGAAGCCCAGAGGTATTACAAGGATGTTCTGATCATCGATAGATATTGCAAAACTCCTTTTTGTGCTCGATGACCCCCTGGAGATAAAACCCTTGTCTTATATATCTGTTGGGTGCTGCGACAGATGTATTCTCAGCTGGAAAATATACGTTTATAGCAGTACACTCGTGTGCTGAGGTTTTTATTCCGTTTGTCATGAGAGAGTATAAGATTCCCTGGAGATGTAAGTAGAAAAAGGAAGAAGAATGAGGTAAAGCCAGTGGAAAAGAATATAAGGAGAAAAGGAGGAAAAAGACAGACTCTCTGATGCAAGTAGATTCCAAATATGGTCTTACTCTTCGTCATTGCCGCGTACTTTTTCTTCATCTCTTTCTTTTCTCGTTAAACCACCAGTCGTGAAAATGTTCCATGCCAACATCTCGGCTGTATACGGTGCAGCTTCGTTGGATAAATGGAAGAACGCTATTACTGTAGGTATAACGAGACACCCTTCGTTGAGACTTTCTTCTTGTACAAGTAATGGAAACGGTGACTACTGTCTTGACTCATTCCTTGAAATCGATGCGGTTGAAATGTTTTACTGATGGCAAAACTATTTTATTTTTTTTCTACATTTATTCCAAGTAATTAGAAATATTTCTCAAATATTTTAGTAATTATTATCAATAAAAAAAAACGAGAATTCCATTCATTTGACTTAATCTACAAAATATTTTTTAAATAACCATGAATTTTTCTTCAAGTAATTGCTCGTTATATTCTCTTCCACCCTTGAAATAATTAAAAAAATCCCCGTACTTTTTTTTTGCACAATTTCGTATTAATTCTCTGAAAATACTCAAGTTTCAGTTCTTAAGCCGTAAAGTTGCTAACCGAATAATCTCCCTAACAGGATCTAAACCACCGAAATGTTTCCTCTTTGCTTGAGTCTTATTTCTTTTTATTTCACCCTTAGAAGTTAACGATGGAAGGGTGCAAGGATATCACAAAGTCTCGGGGGGGATCACAAGAGCATCGGGGTAATGGCTTGAACACAAGGGTGAGTGTGGAAGTTGTAAGGGAGCAAGAGGTCTCTAATAATTGAGAAGAGGAGATTTACTTCCTTGGTTGGAAGTTTTTGCTTGGTGGGTTGCTATACTGGGGTGCGAATCAGAGACGATTAGGAAAAAATGAAAATCGAAGGATCTCTAAAGAAATTCGATGGAATCAGAGGGGAAGATAAGTTCAACCAATGGAATTATTTCATAAAGTTGAAAGAAAGAATATTGGTGAAGAATAAGAAAGATAAAAGGGCAAAGGGGAAAAAATAAGTCGACAGGATTTATCGTGAAAATTGTTCGGGATGCAGGAATTTACGATAGGTATTATATATATATATTGAATGAGGAACAAAGAGAAAATTCATTTCAGAGTCATTCCCCCGAGAGCATTAGGGAGAACGACACGATTGAGAGACGTAGTAACTGCTTGAGAAAGTCTTAGACCTCTGGGATTTTTTTTTCTTTTTTTTGATCATCTCAGATTCCGAGTTTGTAATAATAAAAATGTACGTACACTTGCAATATACATTTTATCTATCATTGTGATATTGAAATGAGCCTTTCATCCTTGGATAAACAGAAAGAAAAAACACAATCAATTCTTTCTAATTTCAAACTTTTTTTTTTTATTTCACTGTTGAAAAATAACTCAACAATAAAATAAATGTAAGAAATTAACTGAGGGTTTTTTTGTAAATAGACATTAATGATAATTTAATAATTTCTCATTATTTGTCGCACATGAAAGCAAATAACAAATAGTTATTCAGTGAACGATAAAAAGAGAACTGTTATTAGGGTCAAGGGTCTCGAGGGGTTGAAAAAAAGGAACGATAAAAGTTTGAAGAGAAAACCCACTTTCATCTTTAAAGCTGTTACTTTTGGGTGTCATGAGAAAAATAGGCACATAAGTAATTTGAAATCCCGCGAGAAGAAGCCATGTGTAAAGTCGTTTCGTCGCCAAGTGTAAGGGTAAAAAGTATGGTAGAGTTAGAGGAAAAAAACTGGAGGGTCGATGAGATGATCGGACTCAAGAGTTTATATCCTTGTAAATCTTGTAAGATATTAGAGGGTAGATAGTAACAACCTTATAGAAAATACGATAAAATATAGTACACAGTAAAAAAAGATATATGTAGTGAAGATACTTTAAAGAGAAGTTGAAGAGTCGATGGGACTGTTTATTTATTTTATCTATTTTTTATTTCAGAGAAACTCAATATCTCCTGCTGAGAGAGAAAAATACAGCAGGCCCCGGAGTACTCCAGATCCCTCACATCATGACCATTTACACATGAAGAAGATGAAAAAAGAGGATAAAGATATTGGCCATGTAAGTTTCATTGATGATTGTCCATGAATTTTAATTTTATAGTCCTCTTATATTGAGTCCGTGCTTGTTCTTGCCCACAGCAAAGTGATGGTGAAAAGAGTGATCAAGACTTGGTAGTAGACGATGCAAGTGAAGGTCCAACGAGTCCAGCAGCTAATGGCACATCATCACCAAGAGAAAATGGACTGGATAAAATGGGACCATCGTCAGTAGGACCAATGAGTGGGCAAATGAAAAAAGAAGTTCCCCCACAATCTCCAAGAAGTGGAACTAGTAGTAATGCTAGTACCCCTTCTGCGAAGAAGATGGAAGAACGTGAAAAACCCACGACACCTATTTCCAAACCTGTAACGCCAACTTCTGCTGGTGGAAGTAGTTCTGGTTCAGGTGGTCTTAAAACCAGCTCAAGTAAACCTCTTGTATCAGCTTCTGCAGTAGGTCCTTATCCACCACACTATCCACCTCCTCATCATCCACCTGCTGGACCTCATGTCGACATGCTCGGATACCCACCGGGTGCTCTTAATGGATATCCAGCAAGACCGCCACTTCAACAACTGTACGATCCACACGGAGCGATGAGAGCACCACTTGGACCCCTTGGAGTACCTGGCGGCAAACCGTAAGTGTTTCTTTGGCTTTGCAACTAGGTTAATTACTCTTTTGTAGTATAACGTCTTGTACAGAAAAGCTTTTAAACATCAAGTGGAAGGTTGCTAATGATTGTATTTGAATTTTCTTTCAGAGCTTACAGTTTTCATGTCTCGAGTGAAGGTCAAATGCAGCCAGTCCCTTTTCCTCCAGATGCGTTAATTGGACCAGGAATACCACGCCATGCTAGACAAATTAATACATTAACTCACGGCGAGGTTGTATGTGCTGTAACCATTTCTAATCCTACAAAATATGTCTACACTGGTGGTAAAGGCTGTGTTAAAGTTTGGGATATTAGCCAAGGAGGTACAGGAAGTGTGAAACCAGTTTCACAACTCGATTGTCTTCAACGTGACAACTATATTAGATCAGTGAAATTACTACCGGATGGTAGAACGCTCATTGTTGGTGGTGAAGCAAGTAATCTCAGCATTTGGGATCTCGCGAGTCCAACACCAAGAATCAAAGCAGAACTTACATCTGCAGCACCTGCCTGTTATGCCTTGGCCATTTCACCAGACTCCAAAGTTTGCTTCAGCTGTTGCAGTGATGGCAATATCGCTGTCTGGGATCTCCAAAATCAAACACTAGTGAGGCAGTTCCAAGGACATACTGATGGTGCGTCGTGCATTGACATCTCTGCTGATGGATCTAAACTCTGGACTGGCGGCCTTGATAACACTGTTAGATCTTGGGACTTGAGAGAAGGCAGACAACTCCAACAACATGATTTTACATCACAAATCTTCTCTCTTGGCTATTGTCCAACTGGCGAATGGCTTGCAGTAGGCATGGAGAACTCTAATGTTGAAGTATTACATGCCACCAAACCCGACAAGTATCAATTACATCTTCACGAATCCTGTGTACTATCACTAAGATTCGCATCCTGTGGAAAATGGTTCGTTTCAACCGGCAAAGACAATCTACTCAATGCTTGGCGTACACCCTACGGTGCCTCGATATTCCAAGTAAGCAACAGTTTTTTTCTAATATCATTGCAATAGACAACATTTATATTTACTTATACTACTAAATATTTCATTTTGTCTAATGCAATTGCACCGAGATACTGTAATTTATTATTAATTTTTTTTTTCTTTTACAGTCTAAAGAATCATCTTCTGTGCTCAGCTGCGATATTTCAACGGATGACAAGTTCATCGTAACTGGATCTGGAGACAAAAAGGCTACAGTGTACGAAGTGATATATTAAAAAAATAATTGAAGCCAATTAATCATATAAGAACTGAAATAAGAAACACAATTTGTACGCTTGTTAATATATTTATGAATTAAGAAATACCATCAACAAAGTCATATAAATATAAAAATTGGGAAAATGTAAGATTACTAATATAAATCTAAATAATAGTAACTTATACTTAAAAACAAATAATAAGTAAGTGAAGCACAATACTTTTTCCCTCGTGATAAAAAAAATTATTACAGATATTTGATTTTAACTCGCGTGTGTTACCTTAGACAGTTATATATCCATTTCATTGTGCTTTATTAATGCGAGCTTTTTTTACCCAGCATTTAAATTTATTATTATTATTGTATCATATAACTGTCGCTGATTTTTTATTCTTCTTCACGCTTTGATGAATTCACTGTTCACTAAGAACAGAATACTTGTTAATGCAATGAAAATAAACAATTACCTCAGCGTACTCTGTTAAAATAAATCAGAGAAAGCTACTTCAAGCCAGTGACTATTCACTAATGATCAATGCTGAGATCTATCACTAGTTGAATCAGTGATTAGCTTAGTACTGAAAGCTAGAAAGCAGTTAATAATCTCTAATTTATAGAGATTTTCATTGATTTATCTTGAAAGAGTATGTGAAGAAGAATAAAAAAGAAGTAGGAAGTATGAAGTTAACTATTATAGTTAAGAGATGCAAAATATGTTAGTAAATGATTTATTATAAATATATACATATATATTTAGGTATAAAAATAATTTAAGGATTGTATAAAACTTGAAAAAATAGTTTAAAGTGGAATAAAGTGAGAAAAAATTCTCAATGAATAATCGTGATAAAAGTAGAGCCTTTGTAATATAGAACTTTAATCCTTTGTGTACAATTGCGAATGGACTAGTGAATAGAGAATGAATGTAGTTCACGTAGACGAGAGGAAAATTGATGAGAATCTTTATGACAGCGAAAGCAGAAGGTATTATTTGAAATATATATATATATATACCTATATATACGTATATAAAAGAATGAGGTGTCGAGAGTACTACAAAAATCTAGGCTGGTCGACTTGTGGATGAACGAGTACGGTCTGCTGAATAATTACGTGTACTATATTATAAATAATAATAATACAAATAATAATAAAAAATAATGATAATAATAATATTAAAAGGTAAACGTAGAAATGAATATGTTATCTTGAATAAAAACTAAAAAATTAATTACTTTCTTACTCCCAGAAAATTTAGAGATTGAAGAAAAGAAATAACAAAAAATAAGACGAATAAAAAAAATGTAATCTTGATAAATCAGTGGCTAATGTTTCTATATGGCCTACCCTATAGTATGTATGTATACGTGTGCTCTAGGAACGTTTAGATTACAAAGAAACGATTAATTAGTGTGACAGGAGTAGGTCATTAGAGCTGATGCAATGATTAAAAATAGAATACGGATTTTAACGATAAACTTAAACTTGAAAATATTTTTGTGACTGTCACTGTAATTTCACAGCTAAGGATAATCTCATTAAGTAAAGATCAGGGAAAAAGTAAGAAACAAGTCACACAGATGATGAAAGAAATCAAGAGAATTTATTAGATCTTTCATTAAAGAGTCAAACTCGTGAATGAGTGAAGTATTATGTCTCACAGGTGTTAACTCGAGGCCTCTTTATAGAATATTAATGCATTGAATAATAATGCTAACCACGTGATACAAATACATACCGATATTTATATTTTGTTACAGGAAAAATACATGTCAAAATTCTGCAGTCATACAAACTGATTCCTTCATTCCTTTAATTTATCATTGACTGCATATTTTGTCGAAGAATTTTGTCATAAAGATTATATGTACTACTGCATTATTTAAAGTGATGAAAAATGTTTGAATGACTGCAGATCCAATAAAATAGACCAATAGAAACAACAATACCTCAAGAAGACTCAATAGTTTATTATGGCTGATGACGAATTAACTGTACAAAAAGATATTCTTTTACAGTAACACGATAGGAGTTGCCATTCGAGATAATACCTTGTTATAAAACTGCCTGTTTATCTTAAAACCGTATCACTGAGCTCGCATTATCGAAGTGATAAAAAGTAAAATATGAATGAAAAAAAATCATTGCCCGAACGCATCTTCTACGTTGTTCCTAGACGCTTTTAAAATTAACTTTTTTTTTGACAAATTATATAGAGTATATTAATATATAAATGTCACGAATTGTTCGCTCGATTTTATCGTCAAATTTATTTTGTCAGATTTAGTGATGATTTTATCAGATTTACTCAATTTATGTGATTAAGATTGTTAACTTTTATGACAAGATCCATGTTACAGTACTCAATGTCTACCGCACATATTTCAAATATTTTTCTGCCTTCTATGTATTCATTTTATAAATTGATAAATGTTTTTAGTGTATTTATAAGTTGCCACTTGAGGTATTATTTATATTTTATAGCGACCGTTAATTTTTCATGGAATTTTAACGATAGAGAAGGTGATAAATCTCGTAAACTTATAATAAAAATTCATAAAATTGATTCGATTGTTCCATTTTATTTCCTTTTCCTTTCGATTTTATGTTGCAAAAGTCGATTAAATGAAACATTCATTTGGAGGGGTGGAATTTAAAATGCATTTTTGCAATATCAAGGTACAAACTCGACTGTTAAAATTGATGGATAAATTTCTCTTCCATAACAACATCGACGGACAAAGAAAATAATGTTGTCAACAGAATTATTCAGTCTTAAAAATCGAAATTATCATGTGATATTGAAGAAAAGAGCTGCTGCTGCTATAACATAAAATGATTTGCTTATCAACCAGAGAAAACTGAAGAAGGAAAATTGTTGGTATAGCAGAGAAATAACTCAAGGGGTGTATAGTACCGAGAAATGATAACTATCAAGTCAATAATTTGCTTGAATTCATTTTAATCATCGTATTCATAAAGCTATTTATATTAAAAAATATGGAAGGACAGGTTGTTTTTAAAAAAATATAGTAATAAATGTTCATCATTAGAATTTTTAGCAAGAATCTATTAGATAAAATGTATCAAAAATTTTTTCAAAATATATGTGAGATCATAAAAATCAATAGAGTTCTTGAAGAAAAATATATAATTTAAACTAACCTAATCAACCGTTTCAAAAACAAGTAAAAAAAATTGATTACCCAGAGACTAGAATCGAAGCTAATTGGATGTTATTTTTTAGACTTAACAATTCCAAAATTTATAGACTGTTAAAATAAAAAAAAACCGGAAATGGCTATAATTTTAGCATAAACTATGCTCGGATCATAATTTTGACTACATCAATGGAAAGTTTTTGCTCTCAGGAATTCATTGATATGCTTGAGGTCCATGTACTTCTCATAGATCCCGAGTTATTAACGGAAAACAAAGCTATATGCTCCAATGAAACATAAAAAAACCTTTAAACGCTCATAACTCGAAAACTATGCGAGATACGGCATTTTTGACGGGGTTATCCTGTAGGGGGATTCCGATTTTTTTCTTAGGTCCAGATCTTTCATTTGAGCCCTTGATCAACCCCGTAGCATCATTAGCATAGAAGTTATGCCTATTTTTTATGTATCGTAGTTTTTCAAGAATATCTCTTGATTTTACTAACCACATATAGTCAATAGCCAGTGTTTTGAAACTGTCTCATCATGATCTTTTCAATGACATCCTCGATTTCATGATCCAAGCATAATTACGATCACTTGCTTTTCCAAGGTTAAAAAGAAAGTGTTTTTATTACTTTAAGAATCAAAAAATTCATTTTTGGAGGTTGCTAACTTTTTTTCAGTCTCAGATCTTTCATATGAGTCTTCGATCAACACTGTAGCATTATTAGCATAGAAGTTTTGCACATTTTCTATAGGTATTACCGATTTTTGCAAATATCTCGTAATCGTATTGTCTGATTCTCAAGTTTGACATAATGCTCTATTTTGCTCGGAACAGTCGATTTTGAAATTTGTCAATTTTTTGGTCCCCTTCCACCTTTTAAATGCATCCCTATAAATTAACATTTTTTAAACGATTTACCTGGTACCTACTCAATTTCAGTCGATATCGAGCTTCAGTCTTTCACCGCACTATGCGAGCTTAGACCAGCTTTAATTATTCATTTAATCAGCAAGGAACTATCCAGAATCTCGCTCGAACATTGTTCAGTAGTGAATCTAGTAGAGAATCACGTTTCCATGAATGGATTGACGCATTCACTGTTTTATCCAAAGTCACTTTCTACTTTACTTCAGTTTCCAATGGTATCAACTAACGAGCACTCTAGGGTATCAACTTGATGTGTTCAAGGTAGTGCTGCCATCACCATTAAACTTTCTCGAATAATCTGGACAATTCTTGGAATGATAGTATTCCAGGAATAGCATTATTGTGGCAATATCTATTCAATCAATTTCATGATGATTATGATCATCACGTTCGAATATTCAAAATAGAATCAACAATCAGCTTATGTCAAATAGATAGTTATCAACTATTCTGGGCAAACGAATTTGATCAAACCACTAGTGTTGAAAACCTGCTCGTTAGGGGTTGATTTACTGTGCTTTCTCTTATGACCAGCTAAATATCTTGTGCTAATAATCGATTGTGTTTGTAAAATTATAAATACTCTTAAAGGGAAGTCAATAAAAAAGAACAAATATGAAGAACATCAGCATCATCAGTCTTCATTAATTTTTCAGTTTGAATCAATGAAAGCTTTAGACAGGGCTTATTTATGAATATGTGAATGCAAAAATAGAAATTAAATGTCAAGACGATCTTAAAGTGAAGTGGCACGTCACAGGATCAGTGTAACCTGGAGATGAAAAATAGATTGAATGAGAACAAGAATTTATCATGAGAAAGGAAGACATTAGTTTCCGCGAGAGAGCGCGAACGATACCACGGAAGGGAGTGGTTGATGGTTGATGGTGGTGAGAGGGGTTAATGTACGTATGCGGCCACCACCCTCGATTCTTTCCCCTCTCGCCGGTACTCTCGGTGTTATCCTTCGTGCAAAAGGTCACGTCCTGCCCTGTCGATCGTTCACCTCGTGTCCTCAGGACCCGTCAGGTTAAAGAGGAAGGGACAACGCTTCATACACGCTACTAATTTTCAAGTTCATCTGTTCTATTATTTATTATATTTTTCACCTAGGGATATTCCATTTGTCAGTGTCTATTTTCCTTACGTTTCATCAATTTATCTAATATGCCAAAAAATTTCCCAGAATATCATTTTTCCCCTAATCAATATCTTCACAATATTTTTGAATAATACTCTAAATAGTTCTTCATCGTAGTTTGTTTTCAATTATTTTGCTTCTAAAAATATAGTTGTGCAATTAATTTCGAAAATATTGTCAATGCATTTTCTATCAGAAAAAAAATATTATGTGATTTCAACTTTAATTTGTTCTGATATATTTCATTATTAATAAGTAATCACTGGATTTATTTAATCAATAATTGTTTAATATTTGAAAATGTAAATTTGTAATAAATGCTGAACCATAACACGAAATTCATTGTAATAAAAACAACACATTTATGGAATAAATATAATTAACATGATAAGCACTTTCATTGTATTACATGTTAAAAGTATTTTATAGATTTAAAGCAGATAAAGTTTGTACGATTGTAGTAGTAGATAGTCATTATTTAATTATAATAAAAAAACCTAAATAGATGGAAACTGATAGGGAATTAGCTCTCATGCTAGTGGCAGATTATTAATACATCTAATATTATCGACGTATTAGCACCTTGGATTTTTTATTTCTAGCTAATTATAAAGACTTATACTTTAGTCATAACAATGATATGACAAATTTTCATCTGATATGATAAGAAATCAAAACCTGACTCACTTTATTATTAGTGAATATTCCAACTGCAATAAGCTGTCTGATAAAATTTTAATATATTTGAAAATTCTACTTTTTACCATGAAAAAAATTTTTTATTAACACCACTGCTACTGAAATTGTCTGCAGAAATAAAAAAAAACCTGGCATAATATTAAAAAATGCTGTATAAGAGTTAATAAATAAAATATTAAAATGCGTCGAGCTGTTGCTTTACATATTCTATTTTTAGATAGTATATAGGCACGTTCACACTACGTTGATAGCGCTGTGAACTATCGCGTAAGCTTTCATAAGCGTTTAAAGCTTATTTAGAATTTAATAAAATATTCATCAACAACAACAAATCTAAAAGAGGGTGGTTGAATAGTACAAAATATCAATACTAATTGAGAATTATTATCACAGTTAATAAGAAAAGCATTGTCTAAGAGGCTGAATAATTCCTTATCAATTTGCCTAATCTCCAGTTGATCGGCAGTTCCGAAGATTATCCAGGCATCATCAGGATTTGTGCGACATCCCTGAAGATTGTGGATACACAGCAAGGGATAATGAGGATATATATGGATTGAGAAATTGGGCAAAGACCGTTCGCTAGATACAGCAAGTGGGAGTGCCACGTAGAAGCTTTCATCCCTACCGGATTCCCGGCTACGACCCCAGTGTCGTCTCTCCCGGGCTGCAGCGGGGGTGAACGCCCTCAGCTGACCCAGACTCGGAATCGATCTCCATTCGTTGCACGATTCTGTCAGTAACTTTCCTTACGATACCTTCATCAGTCTCTCCAATTAAACGTCACACCAATCAGCAATCATTTTTCTGAAAATTCAAGACCTTCCCCATCTCTTGCTCCATCTGCTTTTTATACACACTGCAACCCTAAAACTCCCGCTTCAATCTCATAAGGATCACCGTTTCGAGGGAAATTCTACTCTGTTACTTCATTTCCGTCATCCTTCATTTCACGATATCAATCAAATTACCTACCCAGGGGCTTGCATCAATGTATATACACGAGGGTAAAACGGTACCATTCCTAACAGTCACATTGATTTCTGACCAGCCTGCAGCTCTGTGAGAAATGTCTATGAATAA